CCGGCCCTGCTTTCCTGCCTGTGCTAATTATAGTCGTTTCACCCTATCACCACTACCAGATCATGTATAGGGGAGTCCAGTGGCTTCAGTTCTGGGCTTTGCCCTCTCATCAAGCTGGGAGCTGAGTGCAGTGGGAGTGAGGAGAGGCAGGAATTCTAATTCAGTGGCAGACATTTATGGAGCATTTACTGTGTGCCATTCCTGTGCTCGGCCTGTTTTCATATGTCATGCAGCTTTAAAAAGCTGTGCTCTCGGTCTTATCTTCCCTCCTTTTCAGATAAGAAGTCACAGGCTCTGTTTTAATTATTTACTAATTCCACAAAACATTATTATACACCTCCTATGCATCAGGCACAGTGCCACGTATTGGGTTTACAGTGATAGATGCTATTTTTGTCCATATAGAGCTTACAGTCAGTGGTGACACCATGGTGTCACATATAATCTTCATCAGCACCCTCATTTATTTCTGTATTCAATGGACCTTTCTCACCCTTATATCAAATAGGAAGCACTGGAACCAAGCCCCCCAATACAAGTAAATGACCTGCCGCTACCTATATGGAAACTCTGGAACTGCTACTGTCTATATAGTCAGGAGGGGAGAGAGATGTTAAACAAATAATGATTTGTTTCCAAGAATTATTTAATTACATTAACATCAGTGGTGCATTAGAGAGTACAGGAGAGCAAAGGAGGGGCCACAGCCTGGGGGCCCTGGAGAAGTTTCCCTGCATTTTGCATTTGCAGAATGCAGACTCAGCCAGGCAAGGGGTGGCAGAAGGAAACTTGGAGAGTGCTAGTGCAAGCGAAGATAGCCAGGGCGATGTGTCAGACCCGAGGTTAGAACTCTGTTCTGGCAGTAGCCCCTAGGCTTTCTGGCTCATTGTGTTCAGGTGTTTCAGCTTTGGAGCCTGGAGAACTTGAAAGACAGATGTACAAACACTGACCGCAGACAGCTGGGGTTCAATCTCACCTTTACAAGCTCCACAGCCTTGGACAAGTTACGCAAACTTAATGTGCCTCAGTTTCCTCCTCTGTCATATGAAAACTAATAGTAGTACTTACCAAAAAGGTCTGAGTGGACCTTGAATGGAATAATGCACATAAAGCCCTTGGAACAGCGTCTAGGTGCTGAATACACGTTTCGATGATTATTCAACATACCCAGCCATTTTGATGAATGGGAATAAGTTAGAATTTTAAGAGAAGCCTCTTTATCTGTGTGCGTCAAAACTTCAGAAAGTGAAAAACACTCTCAAATGCAAACAAAGTTTTCTTTATCAAGAAATAGTTCAAACAGTCATACTGTGCTGTCATTGATGCTTTAACTAGTACAGTTTTTGCAGGATAAAAGTTATATTTTTAATGGTGTGACTGGGTATCTTAAATAGTTCACCAAAGAGTTGATTTTAGATGCTTGGATTTCAGTGGTAGCAGATATTGTGATATAAAGCTGGGAATGATGATTCTCTTGTATCAGTATTGGCAGGGTGGTTGTTAAACACTTGGTGACTTTACATAATTCTTAATCTCTTCAGATCTCTGTTGTAAAAAGGGGGAAAGTCATAATATCTGCTTCAGGGGATTATCATGAGCCCTAAAGGGCAAGATATTTTTCAAGTAATCTAGCTCAGAGCCAAGTGCACAGCTAGTTTTGAGGTCCCTCTAATTGCTCTGTGTAATAGGGAAATTTTGAAGATTTTTAGTTTGGTTACAATAATACAGGTCACTAGCTTCCTCTTCCCGC